GGCTCACTGTAAGATGAGGGATTTATGTAAACACCCATTTCATTACATTAGTATGTATAGTGTATTACATTCAGTTCATAAAAGTTCAGTTGTTTTGTGGATTTGTTGTACTCACACAAACGTGAACACCGCAATGATTGAAGTAGTGATTAACAGCTGGACGGCTAAAATAAGGTAAACCTGGAACAAAAACAACCACAAGCCAATTTCTTTACATGAAGCTGTTGCCCATTTTATTGCTACATTTTTATGTTTATAAGTCTGTAGTACTAGTTTTATTACAAAATAAATAGTCTCAATACCTTTCTAATGAAGGCATGTCGAACACTCATGCTGTCCCATACGCCAGTTGCTGAAATGCCCTCTGCATCTGCTACAACAAAACAATGAATACACAAAAACACATATTTGATCATAAAAGTCACACACAGAGGCCACCAAAAAGTACTTGGACAACTAAGTCGCATTTAAAACTGTACAGTGCCAGACATATGCCAGATACTCAACCACCTAACAAGAGTGCATGAATTATGAATAAAACATAGCTCCAGTGTTGGGAAAGTTACTTTGGAAATTTAATAGTTTACAGATTACAAGTTACCCTATTTAAAATGTAATAAGTAGTGTAATTATTTCAATTACTTTTTTAATGTAACTGATTACATTTGATTACTTTTCTAAATTTCTAATGAATGTTTTCAACTGTTAAGCATTTTTAAACATTTAAACCAGGCAGGGTTAACTTTACAGTAGTACTCAACACAGATTACTATCAGAATTTCAAAATCCTCAATCAATAATCCACTTGAATTAAGATTACAAAATGTACATTTTAAAGCACAGCCACCATAAAATCAGACGTTTAACTTTGAGATCGTTCTGAGGTAAAATACCTCATTAAACCAATTAAATCTTAGCTCCTTAGTGATGTCTTTAATGCCAAGCAGTGTTTGACGATCGTATGTTAAAAGTGATGAAACATTTTGTAAAATGGCTAACATAAAACACATTAAAACAAACAAACGGCTACAACAGGCAGGCCATACACCAGCGCCATCTTGGAATGCATGTCAGATCGATCCAACTATACTTGTGAGGACCAAATGTCCTCACTTATATAGTGAAAAATCATGACAACCTACTAATGAGGACATTTTACTAGTCCTCACTAGTTAAAAAGGCTTATAAATCTATTTATTTTATTTAAATCTAGCGTTTTGCACATGCTTCTGTGAGGGGTATGGGTTGGGTTAGCTGATAGAAAATATAATTAACCTGATATAAAATCAATGGAAGTCTATGCAATGAGATAGCAAAAAAGATGTGTGTGTGTGTGGTTGAAAATATTCAGATGTAACCCCCTTTTTAATCATTAACATTTTCATAAGTAACTGTAACAGATTACAGTTACATTTATTTTGTAATTACATTATGTAACTCCATTACATGTAACTAGTTACTTCCCAACAATGCACACTTCATAAAGCAGACAAATACATCTTAAGAGAGAGAGAGAAAAAAGAGAATATGAACATGTCAGAAATAAATGGTACAAATGTAGGCTGCACTGTGCAACAGTTTGCTGTAATGAAACTTGATTTTTACAAAACAAATAAATAAATACAGTAAAGAAGTAATAGATTATGCTTTATGATTGACATGAGAACTTGATTCTTACATAGGTTGGAGGAAAATATCCCTGGTGTTATAAAGGACGGCATCATAGATGGCATTGCTGAAGGGCAGTATCCACGGCCCTGCCAAAGCCCTGCCTGAGGGTGTATGCCAGGCTGTCCCGGGCCCGTGTACACCCCTGGCTGGGCAGGATATCCGCAGGGAGGGAACGGATAGTTTCCATGCTGCTGCTCTCTTGACTCTTCATAACTTGGAGGGGGATCTGACTTTGACATTGTGATATCCCTGAAACCAAGCCACATAATTAAAGATCTTGAATAATTAAATTAATGTAATGCTTATGTTATACATTTATTGCTTTCTCTCTATTCACACATATACAGAATAATATAGCATAACCAAGTATCCAGTACATTCCAACTCAGTACAAGTATACAGTTATTTTATATAACTAAATTTATGTAATACAGTAGTTACACTTTATTTTCACTTTAAATACGTTTCTAAAACAACAAAAGTGATCTGTTCTCGAATGTTTTGCCAGTGTGACATCAACATAATTATAATTATTGTAAATGAATGTAGTAATGTTTCGCTTACCACGTTTGCTGTGACCTCAGCAACGGGACTGCATGAACTTGTTCTGCTCTACGTAAAGAACTCAGCGTGTGATGCAGTGAAGAGCGAGAGGTGCGCACTGGAGCGCTCTGATTGGCTGCAACCAGGCGACACAACTAGGAGGAGCTGCGCATCTCTAGTTTCCAGGGTTCTGTTCTCACTGGACTGCGCTCAGTATCTATTTCCCGAACTGGTCTAGTCATCTTACCAAAATACCGTATTGTGTGACCACTGTTTAGTATTTGAAATGTTATGAACTCTTCCTTCTTTTTTGGTGACCTGAACATAGATATGTGTATTATCTTCACATGCACATGTTTTCCTATTCATAACTCTTTGTATTCAACAAGTACAGGGTCTGATGAATGTTAGATCTTTGTTGTGGTCATTATTAGTTAATGATCTTGTAGTAAAACCTTTCTACCAATAGACGGCGCTACAGCACAGCTCATGATCTTGCTACAATATTATTTAACACATTGTTTAAACACACAGACTTGATACAGAGTTTGTTGTGTAGATAAAGTTTTATAGGTGTGCTCTTTATCTTTGGTTTTTATACATTTTAAACAATTCTTTTTAATAAATATACGACTCAAATTTGCATCTCGCACATTAATTTACATTCTTAGACTTTTCTCCATTCAAACGTTGCAGACAGCAATGACATATTTTGTCATTGTAAATTTGCTTACTGATCTGCGACTGGTCATCTTTCTTAGGTTTATTTTAACTCAATTGTAAATGGTCCTTTAAGTCTTAAATATATTTTAAAATGTATCATTTATCTTTGGTAAATGCAATTTCACTTTTTTGTAATCTACATAACTCTAAATAAATTATGCATGCCAATAAAAAATTAAATAGATCAGACTGAGATAAATATTAGATTAAGAAATAAAATCTTATACATTAGATTAGATATTGTTGTCTTAATGGAGGGAGGAAGGAGGAAAAAAATGACAAAGAAAATTGTTCAGCATGCCGTGGGTTGTAGAGATTAGGAAAATGTATGATTTTAACGTTCTCATAATTCTGCATTGGCATGAATGCAAAGAGTCTGAAATGCCCCACAGAGGACCTGCTTATCAGAGTCCTGCAAGACTCAGAAACAGCCTCTTATTCACACCTCTGATGCTCTGAATGCTCTTATGATGTACAAGTGAAGCCCCCCTTTTGTCAGTTCACTGGCATCAATATTGAACACTTTTTTTACATATCATTCAGCATAATGCTTCTGATACCACGTTTCTGATACCTGGGGCAAGTTCAAGCTCAAACCGGTGTGCACCGGTTTTGTCGGGGCTGAACGCAGCCCTGGTGACAGTGTGACAGTAGTTATTTTCCCCATGTGTTTTGAAATTAAATGTTACAGAAACTGCACATTGCAATGTAAGTATTTGAATGAAATGAAAAATAACTGCCTGGAGGTTTTGGCTGGCGGATAACTGATATTATGTATCGTACAATAATGTAAAAAAAAAAATCAACAACCATAGAGGTATAACAATAACTTTATTATATAATTATAATAATAATAATAATAATAATTTAAAAAGCAAAACATATAATTAAGATTTAGCTGACAGTTTCTTTGCCCCCAAGTAAACAGGACAGTGAATAGATTACAAATCCTCCTGGTACTTCCGGAACTGCCGCTGTGAGCTCTTAAGATTTTACGCTGCTGTCATGTTGATTACCTTGGAATTGGATACATAAACAAATCCTTTTTTTTTCTTTTTTTTTGCACGTTGAATCCAAACATGGAATGACATTCATGCATCGATTCACTGAAGGAGCTTGAGTACTTCCTGCTCGACCATCTGTTTACTTCAACCTCAGCAGTATTTATAGAGCTTTTAGGTTTTTGCACATATATGCACATATAAGAAGAAAGTAATCATGCTGAAGGCTGTTATTCTTATCGGAGGTCCTCAAAAAGGTGAGTAAATATCCCTTAGACTCGTAACAGTGGTGCAGTTTTGTCTGTACAGTGATTGTTTTAAAATAAATGTAAGAATCATTCTCATTGTCACTAAGGACAGGACTTTTTAAAAAAAAAAAATCATTTTTATGCAGATGTTATCATTTTGGTAATGTTATGCAAAACTCCAACCTGTGTTGATATAAAATGTACCTTTGAAGGACATGAGAAGCAAAATTTTAATTATTTAATAATAAAAAATATATACGAGATTATAATTAGATTAACTTCAGCGATTTACTTTTGTGAAGAAAATTGGGTACTTCCGGAACTGCCGCTGTGAGCTCTTAAGATTTTACGCTGCTGTCATGTTGATTACCTTGGAATTGGATACATAAACAAATCCTTTTTTTTTTTTTTTTTTGCACGTTGAATCCAAACATGGAATGACATTCATGCATCGATTCACTGAAGGAGCTTGAGTACTTCCTGCTCGACCATCTGTTTACTTCAACCTCAGCAGTATTTATAGAGCTTTTAGGTTTTTGCACATATATGCACATATAAGAAGAAAGTAATCATGCTGAAGGCTGTTATTCTTATCGGAGGTCCTCAAAAAGGTGAGTAAATATCCCTTAGACTCGTAACAGTGGTGCAGTTTTGTCTGTACAGTGATTGTTTTAAAATAAATGTAAGAATCATTCTCATTGTCACTAAGGACAGGACTTTTTGAAAAAAAAAAAACATTTTTATGCAGATGTTATCATTTTGGTAATGTTATGCAAAACTCCAACCTGTGTTGATATAAAATGTACCTTTAAAGGACATGAGAAGCAAAATTTTAATTATTTAATAATAAAAAATATATACGAGATTATAATTAGATTAACTTCTGCGATTTACTTTTGTGAAGAAAATTGTTAGGAAAATAAAATTATGATCAGTAGACATGAAATGTATTCCTGCAAAGTCTGATTCTGTATTTCTGCTGTTCATACAGGCACCCGGTTTCGCCCGCTGTCTTTTGAGGTGCCCAAACCTTTTCCAGTGGCTGGAGTGCCAATGCTACAGCATCACATTGAGGCCTGTTCTAAGGTACATATTTTCAGTTCATATAGAGATCATTAGATATTGTGTTAATTTCCCTATAGGGTAAAGTTATGCACTTGTTTAATCATTTTTATGATTTATTTTTTTCTTTAGCTTCCGAATATGAAGGAGATCTTACTTATTGGCTTTTATCAGCCCAATGAAGAACTAAACAGATTTTTGTCATGCGCCCAACAAGATTTCAAAATCTCAATAAGGTAAGTTACTTTATAATATTTATATTATATAACATTTGTATTTATTGTTTTTAAAATCTGAAAAGCCCCTTCAATCAAGGCTTTTGTTTACATGGATTGTCTGAAATCCCCCTCAGATACCTTCAGGAGTACTCTGCTCTGGGCACCGGAGGAGGAATCTACCATTTCAGAGATCAGATCCTGTCCGGTGGTCCAGAGGCATTTTTTGTCATGAATGCTAATGTGTGCTCAGAGTTTCCTCTGCCAGAGATGACGGACTTCCAGAAGGAGCACAGAGACGCTTACAGTTTTGTCATCCTCGGTACCACGGTTAGGAGTTTGTGTTTATGTATCAAACCATAGATGTATTATAATGAAAGACACAAGCCAGGCTACTTATAAAACAGGATTCTCAATTGATTACTAGCTTGTTTTTAATTTGAGTTGTGTTATGATGTTGTGGTGCTTGAAAATCAAAGCGGATTGTTTCAGGCCAACAGAAAAAAGTCTCTGAACTACGGCTGCATTGTTGAGAATGAACAAACTGACGAGGTAATCAGGATTTTTTCCTTCTTATTTTAAAAACTTGAAGCAATAACAAGTAAATTCATAATTGTCTTATCATATCCTCCAGGTCTTGCATTATGTCGAGAAGCCCAGCACATTTGTGAGTGACATAATCAACTGTGGAATATACCTGTTCACTCCAGAGATATTCCAGCACATCGGAGCAGTTTTCCAGAAGAACCAACAGGACATGCTGTTGTGAGTGGGGCAAATCCTGTAGGGTTCTTGAGTGGAAGAGCATGCATACTTAATCTGTTTCTTTTCCTTGGTTCTCTTCATTTGTCTTTTCCCCTTTAACTCCTTCCTGTCTGCCATCATTCTGTTTCCTGTTCCATCGTCAGATATTACGATGAGGGGTGAGTTTGAATGTGGACTGAAGGTTTGGTTTGGTTTGGCTTGTATGTAGAACGAGAAGGAGCAAGTGTGATGTAGATCTTGTAGTGAGCTTGCCTGCTTGTGTGATCTGTCAGCTAGATTCATGTTAGCATGTTGTGGTGTGACGATAACAACACGGCACACATGTTGTGATACTATTAGGAATTGTTTTTCAGATTTCATCTTTGAAATCCACTCAGAAGTTAAAGGGAAAATTCTGTCATTAATTACTCACCCTCATGTCGTTCCAAACCCGTAAGACCTCCGTTCAAAAAAAAACGACTTTATTCAACAATTCGTCTCCTCCGCGTCACCCTAGCGCCATTTTGGAGAGTATCCACTGAATGCAAACAGCGTGTGTTCTTCTGTGTCAGCCGCACCACATGGATACGATTTCTACGTTGTTTGTGCTTTGATTTGAACGAAAACAATGTATCCGTGTGGTGCGGCTGACACAGAACAACATATGCTGTTTGCGTTCAGTGGATTATTCAGTCGTTATTTCTTTTTCTTTTGTGCACAAAAAGTATTCTCGTAGCTTCGTAATATTCCGGTTGAACCCCTGATGTCACATGGATTATTTTACCGATCTCCTTGCTACGTTTCTGGACGTTGATCATGGTAGTGCCCTTGCTGTCTATGGGAGGGTCAGAGAGCTGTCATATTCCATCAAAAATATCTTAATTTGTGTTCCGAAGATGAACGGAGGTCTTACAGGTTTGGAACGACATGAGGGTGAGTAATTAATGACAGAATTTTCATTTTTGGGTGAACTAACCCTTTAATATAAGCCTCACCTCTGCCTGATAATATGGCTATAACTCACAGCTATTCTGTTTCATTAACATCTTACAGTTAAAGACATTAAAGACAACATAAATTCAGAATTAATATT